AATTGATTACTAAAATGTCCTCGTTGTTGGGTACAAGTAGATGGAAAATTTGGAATTTTTAAAATTGTGTGAGGAATTAGAATACCACCTACCACCCAAGAGTCCAATTCCTCCAAAATCAAGAGTTGAATTCCTAATTTTGCGTGGATCCCACTCGCATTTTGATTCCTCCATGTGAAGTAAACACAGGAGTATCCGTAAAAGGAATTCAACTACTTATTTTGATTCCAATTACGGATTAGTAAACATGCCATAATATTCAATTCGCTAAAACAAACTGCTATACAACATTTATAATTCCTTCACAAAGCCCCTCAATATTGGGTTGTCTACAATTAAATGGGTGGGCTGGCTTTAAGAGTTTAAAATTCAAGGCCTACGAGTTCTAAACAAAATAAGCGTTGAGTTAAATAATCACCTTGGGGAATTGTAAGGAGTCTCACAGAGGTAAATTTAGACGTAGAGATAAAGGGTCGAGATGAAAGAATAGATAAAGAGCACACATTATTCACAGCAACTTGCATAGTGATCTTAAGAGCACTTTTTTTCTACTTGTTTTATTTGGCTAACTGTGAAATAATCAGAGCAACTAGGTTTGGATTGATTTAACAATCCTCTTTGTTTGGGAAAATTAAAAAATTGACAATAAGGATAAAGCCTAATATCAGTCCTATGTAAGAGGCAAGCAAATTCTATGTATCAAAAACCACAGAAATGCTAATTTACTTCGCTCATTATCCAATTTCCACCTCACAGAAAAATTCAATGCCTAAAACCAAATTTTCATGACTAAAGTGAAGAGATCAACCTTGTAGATCTTGAAATCTCCAAATCCAATTCTAAGTTGGAATAATTCAAGTGCATAGCCGCTAAAAGCTCAAATTTTGACCACGATTTTGGTGTTTAATCGTAGCAGTCAGATCTATCAATTTCACTCCCGCAGTTCACTGAGAAACACACAAAAACATGCAACACACAAGCAGCAAACACATGCAGGGAAGAGAGAGAAAGAGAAGAGAAGAGAGAGAGAGAGATTACTTTTGTGCTCTGGTTCTTGAGGAGGGTTTATCAGTCATCTGTGGTTTGATGGTCGTCACCTGCAATAATGTAAAGAAATATTTTGGCTTCTCCCCTAAACAAGTAACTGAGAGAGAGAAGAGAAGGAAGGAAGCGGATTCTTAGGTGTCAAAATTACTAAAAAGGGCCTCTTTCCTTTTTTGTTACAGCTAGCTAGCTAACCTCCTCCTACCCTCCAAAGTCTGACTGAGCCAGTCAGTTTTCTGCCCTTGTGCATAGCTACTAGAACACCTGTCTTCTTGGCCACGTGCTCAAATCACGTGAAAAACTTGTCTGTCTCTCAGCAACCATAACCTGCGGCTTTAGACTGTACCGTACTTGGCCTCGTTTTCACAATGTTGTTTAGATTTTTTGGTTCTTATCATTTATTTCGGACTGTAAGATTTGGATGAGATTTTTTATTTTATTTTTTTGGGTCTGATTTGGATTGCATTCAAGTGTTGCTAATTTGATCCGTACATCCAAGTTCAATGCAATTGGATTAAAAAAAATACTTTAAAACGCTGCAAGAAAAATGTTATCACCATTTTTTTTCTCTATTGCCATATCATAATAATTCATAGTCTCGTATAGTTATGTTCTTTCTTTCTTCAGAATCAGAAGCATGCAGATATATGTATGGTTAATTACAAAAAGATGAAGATGGAGACTTCAAGAAATACAAAATTCTTCAGGCAAAATACTATCTACAAAATTGATGAAATTCGACGTTTCGAATCAGCCTCCGTCGCTGCTGCTGTATCCACACTTTTCAGGAATGACTGCTTATCTGAGAAATGCACAATACTGCAGTTTATATTTATGATTCAGTGTTATAAATATAAACCACCATATACTAGTGTACCAAAATCAATGAAAACTAATAAATTCCATCTTTACCTGCTTATTAACTCTCTTGCAATGCTTCTTGCGTGATTCAAATACTGAAAGCTTTGTACAGGGTCGTCAACATCAATTATTGCAGCTTTCAAATTCATAAAGAATTTCTGATACGCACCACCATTTGTCTCCTCTAAAACCGGACTCCATCCTACATGAAGGCACTCGGGAGATTCCAGCATTTCATCTTGTGCTTCTTTCTTTTGATCTGTTACCAGTGATTTTAGCAACCAATTTTTTCCATGTCTGTTTCTTGCTCGGCTGTTTACTACTGCCTCCAACCTAGCAGCCATGATAGTCGCTTGTCTTATGCACGAGGAAGGTAGCTGCAAAAACATAAAGCGCCCGGCTTAAATTACCTGAGCCATGAAGGGAAAGGGAGAGAGGGGAAAGAGGGGGGAGAGAGAGGAATACCTGTGCAAGCTCCGCAACCTTAAATCCAAAGCTCCTCTCTGAAACACCAGGCACAAGCTTATATAAGTAAGTGACATCTTCATTTTCAGATTGCATGCCTACCGTATCCATATCTCTATTTGAAGTCAGATAAGAAACATGGTATGCCTCCACTGAGCCTGGGAATTCAGTTCTAATATAAGCAATTTTTGGATAGTGCGTCACAAAGAGGACCATGCATTTTTTCTGCTGTAGCAGATTATGTAATGTAGCGTAAGCAATAGCCACGCCATCATGTGTACTCGTGCCTCTCCCAAGCTCATCGATGATAACCAATGAGCGTGCTGTGCAATTGTGGAGTATATGTGAAGCCTCGCTCAGTTCTTCAAGAAAAGTGCTTCTCCCTTGGTGGATACTGTCAGAAGCACCCATTCGAGTGAAAATTCCATCCAGCACATGCAGCTTTGCCGATGATGCTGGTACAAAGGAACCAACCTAAAAGAATCAGAACACACTTTTATAAAGCAACTGCTGTAAAAAATTCATTTATCAAGCAGCAAAAGGAAAAGTTTGGAACATTATGAGAATTATATAGCGATTAACTATAGATTAGGAAAATTAAAACAGTACTATCCCTTGAAGAACATAATGCACATATATGCATATTTATACAAAGAAGAAGAGGACCAACTATGGTTACCATTATTTGAATTACTTTTTTAGCATATATACCTCCAATATGTCACTTTAAAAAAAACACTAGTGCCATGCAAAAACGATAGATCATTGAGAGCTCTGATTTTACCTGAGCCATGATAGCAATGAGAGCAACTTGGTGAATGTAGCAACTCTTTCCACCCATGTTAGGTCCAGTAATAATCTGACAATACTCTCTGTCTGCCTGCAAATCTGTGTCATTTGGAACAAAATTGTCTTGTAATGTAGTCTCTATGACCTGGTAAGACATTGCAACCATTAAAGAGAAGCCCCAATGACATTAATAGAGCAGCAATGGACAATCTGAAATGAGCTATAATATTGCGTGCATGCAACATTTTTATTGAAAATGCAGGACTCTTCAATTTTAATAAGGATGTAATTTGATTTCTTCAGAACTTAGGCAAACACAATGTCTCAGCTAAAATCAGCAGAAGAAAGTGGAAGTGCCAATAGAGAGTTGGGACCTAATGTTTTTTGGCATGAGTGGTATATGAGTTGTATAGTTAACTTCAAGAATTAGGAAAGTTTCCAATTAATTGTAATTATTCCTGTATTCGCATACTTTCCTTTTCTCACATACCCTGTACAGTTATAAATACCTCCAATTGGGAGAAGAATAAATCATTAGCAAATTCTACCCTATTCTCTATTTTTAGCATGTTTGTTAATTTCAATCAAATATTAAGATCGTTTACATTTGATATCAGAAGATAGAGAAGAGATCTCAACTCGACATGCAATTTTGAAGCAACCAATAATACCATTTCAAGCATTCATAATAACAAGTCCTTAGTGTTCTTAAACCCAATAAGCATTATATATGTACCGGATGACGGCCAGACAATATATGTATCTGGACAGGTTCATCATCATATACGATCACTGGACGAACATAGTTCTGCAACACATAAGTTCATAGGATTATACTTGTAATAATTTGATGACAAAATAAGTTGTGTATTGAAGCAAAATATTCTAATTAAACCTTCAGCGGATACCTTATTTCTTGAAAGAACAGCAAGTGAATGAAGACAATCTAAACTCGCTAGTGCTTGAACAGCAGCTTGGAACTCAGCATAATATTTACCAAAACCGCTTAGAAAGTTATCCCAAGCAGCACGACAGGTGATAGTGAGTTTCTCATTTGCAAGGGCTAGATGGTCTAAAGCTGTCAAAACATCAGGTGGGTGATACCGGACAGTCTTTTTGGTACTATTGATCTTAACCCAATTTGAAGGCACCTTTACATCTAAGGGCAACTGCAGGTAATGCAACATTAAATTAGATATGATATGTAACTTGCACCAGGTGTGTCCATTTTGAGAAGAATATTCCCAGAATGAAGTTAACCAACTACCTCTATCAAGTGTGTTGTTCCAGACACACTAATGAATTCCAACTTGCGCATTCCAAGCTGTTTGCGATACAAACTGATGAGAGAATCCAATTTTTCCTTTGCCAATTGAACCTCCATCCGTGCTTCAGCAACCTAACCAAATAAATTTGACAAACAAGATAGAAGGAGAGCAAACAAAAAGATAGCAAAGAGTAGCCAAAAAAAATACACGAAATTCAGAGTATTAAGCTCATAGTACAAACCTCAGGAAATTGGCCATCAGAGATTATTAAATTTGGTAGATCCTGTTTGTCGGCTGCTTCTTTGTTAAGGGTAGACAACAGTCTTGCAGCATTTCCAATTACAGTGGATGACGAAGCAGTACATATCAACTTCCTCAGCAGGTCAGAGCGTCCTGTCTTTCCTCTCAAATTTTCTTTGCTTCCCTCTTCTTCAATTTGAAGTTGCTGAAGTTGTTTTCCAGCATATAAAATAGCTTGAATCACTGCAATGAACTGAGCATACCCCTTATTCAGAAAATGAAGTTACTGAACCAGCTAGGTGAGGCAAACTACTTAGTTGAGGGTACCAAGCCCAATATGCAAAAGCCAGCCTGTGAGCACACATCACTAGATATTTTTTTTTTTTCGGGGAAAGGAATGTCACTACATCTTGATTTATAGGTATTCTTTCTTTACACTAATTTATTTATATATCTATCCATCCTTCTCCAAATCTACGTCATTAAATTTTATCTCAATTTTTCTTTAAAAGAAAAAAGATACAACAAAATTTGACTCTGATGGTAACAAATTAACGATCTACAAACATATAGCCATTCAAACTAGCAGGTTAGAGGAGAAGCCGTGCGTCACCTCAGATGGAGTGGCAGTCCGATGAAAGATTCTTGTTATCCCACGTTGAATATCAGTTGACCGTCCCAAAGTCGTCAGAACTGAAGAAAGTATATAATTTAACTTTGGTTTCAAATTTGTTACAAAAGAATCTTCCGCATCATGCTGTTCAACATTCTGAGGAGCTTTAGAAGACCCCATTGACTCTGCAATCTCAGAAACAGCATCAAGACGAGCACAAATCATGTTTCTATCACATAAAGGGTGAGTTACCTGTACCATTCAAAGGAACTATCAACTACTGGAAAAAATAAAATCTTAAATCCCAAGAAAAATTACAAAAGATTTGCAGGCAGCTCATACCCAATGTCTAAGAAGCCTTGAACCAAATATGGTAAGAGTTTGATTCATAGACTGCAGCAAAGAGCCAGACTCAGACCCATCAGCATTGTTCTTCAATACCTAAAGGCATTTGGAATGTTTACCTAGAGTCAGAGCTAGGTAAAAACCAGAAAGTTTAAATAAAGGAGAACTGTTGTCGCTTTCAACATACTGGGCAAGCAGAATTTCTATCATGATTACACAGGGAATTTTCTAACCCTGCAACCAAGTATGCAGCATTTAATACTTTCCCTGCAATACTTAGTCATCGTGGTAAAAGCTATCTTCATGCTTTTGCACAAATCTTCATCAATAAATTTCAAATTAACACCTAATCATAGATATAAGTATTGAATACTAATGAAAAATAAACACACGACTCAGAATCACCAGTGCCAACGGATCCATGTTGGTAATGGCAATAGATTAGTAAACCTGAACCAACTATCTATAGCTAGGAATAAGTATTGAAGTAAATTACATCACTCTTTGAGAAAATCCACTCTTGTTGGCTATCCTAATTCAACCCTAGAGTTAGGTGGAAGAAAAAAGAGTCATTCATTTATACCCATTGGCATTTCAAACTCTTTTACTGGAAATCCAAAGCAAATCTCTTTGCAGCATAACACAAGAATAGGGTTAGATACCTCCAATTGCTGAAGTGCATTGGCCGAGAGAGTCATCTCCGTGCTGCTTGAGAGGGGCCTAAAAGAAGCTCCTAGGTGCAGGATCCTTTCTAAACCAAATTGTTTCAGATGACGAACAGTTAAGGCCAGTGCTTGGACTGCCAAATTTGGCATGTTCATTATTCCCTATAAAACAAAAGGAAAAAGGAAATAGAGTAACGCAAATTGCAGATGAGAAGAAGAAAACAGGAAAATAAGGTTAAACCG